GATTATGCAGTTCAGTTTTGGTCGCCGTACTACAGAAGATATAAATTCACTTCAATGTGTCCAGTGTAGGATGACAAAATTAATTCCCCAAATTATATATCTTTCATATGAAGAAAGATTAACAAAGCTTAATTTGCATTCACTGGAATGGCAAAGAGTTAGGGGTGACATGATAAGAGGTTTACATATGGATGAATGGACGTAACAAAGGGGATATTAATAGAGTATTGAAAGTATCAACACAAAACAAAACACAAAACAATGGATATAAATTGGATAAGTTTAGATTTAGAAAAGACTTGGGTAAATACTGGTTCGATAACAAGGTTCTTGATTTGTGGAACCATTTACCACGTAACGTGGTGGAGGTGGGGTCCCTCAATTGTTTCAAGCATAGGCTGGACACGTATATGAGTGGGATTGGGTAGTTATAAATAGGAGCTGCCTCGTATGGGCCAATAGGCCTTCTATAGGTCAATAGGCCAAAATAAGTAGCTTGGGGTTCTACTACTCATACTCATTTACGTCCTCTAATTACCCAACACAAAGCTGCTATTAGAACAATATCTAACTCTGGCCCCAGACAGCACTTGGGACCCTTACTCAAATCTCTGAATATGTTAGATATTAAGTCACTGCACATCCTCTCTTGTGTACTCTATATATTTAAAACTTTGAATTGTAATGTCAATCCTGACCTTCAACGCTTCCTAGAAGGTTGTAACAGAACTCATGGGCACCACACCAGAAACAAATACCTATTTGATATTCCAAGAGTATGACTTAATCAAACTAGGAATGCTCTACAAATCAAGGGACCCAGAATGTGGAATGACCTTCCCAATCATGTACAGTGGCACCTCGATTAACGAGTTTAATCCGTTCTGGCACCGAGCTCGTTATGTGGAAAACTCGTCTTAAGAAACAAATTTCCCCATTTAAAATAAAGGAAATAAATTTAATCCGTTCCACTCCCAAAAACATCCATACTTGTATGACATTTTATAATGTAAATATAATACTGCACATGTAATTATAAATGTTTTGTTGTACTGTTTTCATGTTTACTTTACCTTATGAAGAGTCGTTGCTGGCTTGAGGGAGACGATGGGGAGGTGGGAAGGAGGAGAGGGGTTATGGTGTGGAAGGAGAATCCACCTCTGAGTCAGGCGGCCTCTCTCTTCTTGGGAATTTCACCCCACTGGGACTGGGTTGTGGTTCACTATCACTTGCTGGTCTTTACTTTTGCAAAGAACGAGTCTATTGACAATTGCTTTTGTCTTTGTTTTAGGATGTCCCTAAAACGAGACAGCAAATTGTCATTAAACATGTTCTCACACCGGGTTGTCACTGCTTTATCAGGGTGATGCTTTTCCAAGAATGCAGTCACCTTTTCAAACATTCCCAACACTTTCCTGATCTCACTGGAAGAGGCAGCATCCTCCCTTACCTCCTCATCCCCTTACTAATGGTGCAAATTGTTGACAAGGACCTACCATACTCCCTTGTGAGATCAGTCACACGGACACCATGCTCATGCTTTGCTATAATTTTCTTCTTCAAATCCACAGTAATTGTCTCTTTCTTCCTCCTGACAACACTATCTTTAGCAAGGAGCTTCTTTGGCGACATCGTGCGTCACATATTGTAGTCACAAAACCACAAAAACCCAAAGAAAAGCGCAAATAAATGCAGAGGGATGCTTGTCGTGCGTGATACAACAACAACACTGGCGTCGGAGGTGTCCGAGAATTTGCGAGAACCAGTGAGATGCTAGGAAGCACCATGTGGTTTTGCTCGTTAATAGAGGTGAAGCTTGTCGATAGAGACAAATTTGCTGCGAGTGGCTCGCTTGTTACTCGAAATGCTCGTAGATAGAGCCGCTCGTTAATCGAGGTGTCACTGTATTCTAAACTACTGGTAACAAGATGAGTATGGGTTGCACAATAAATTACCCCGCAGAGGATGAGTATGGGGTGCACGTAAACAAAGACTCACACGATGAGTATGGAGTGCACAATAAACTACTACTCACAGGATGAGTCTATGATATATATGCTCTATATTAGAGTAGCTAAAATACACCTCCATTTCCAAAATAAATACTTTAATGACAAATATTTAAAAATATATTGTATGTTTCTGATTTTCTGATGATATAGAACATATCATTATGTGTGTAAATCACAAAAATTAGCATGTGATGAAAAATGTGATAGTGTCAGACCACGGAGGAAGAATCGAAACAGGAATTTCCTTAAGTACTTTCGTATATTAATACATCTTCAGAAGGTATGAATGAAGATGAATAATACATTCATTCCTTCTGAAGATGCATTAATATACAAAAGTACTGTACTTAGGAAATTCCTGTTTCAATTCTTCCTCCATGGTCTGACACTGTCATATCGTATATATTGGGGTCCCAGTAGTTCAGTTGTGTTCGTTCTCGACGCACAATTGAGAATCCTGGGTGGGACAGAAATGGTTGGGTACATTTCTTTTCACCTAATGCAACTGTTCATGTTTCCTGACACCAGCGATTGTGTAGTATTGGCTATTTATTTAACCACATCTTTGCTTTCATTTAAGATATGTTTTCCTTGAAATGTAGTTACATTATCGTCCACATCTGTCTTTATTCTGGCATATAGGCCTTAAATGTTACTTTGCATATATGGAATTAATTATACAATTGATTGGCTTGTGTGCAAGCCTTCACACTCCCTGAGCCAGCCATCAACCATAAAAAGGCATATATATATCTTCACTTTCACTTCAGTTATATTTATGCCAAAGTATTATCATGCAGTTTATAATTCTGTCTGTATGATCACATAGAAAACTTCATTTATTACAATATCTAGATTAAATTAACACTGATCTTCGACAGGTCGTAGTTCCCATCAATTGGGAGAGCGTCAACCAAGAAACCTTGTTTAAGATACAAATATCTTTCCTCTGTAATAAGGTATGATCTCCGTGAGGGATTCACAAAACTATTTTATCTACACCTTTCTGATAACATGTACAAATATAATCTTTATTTGTGAATCTTTGTTAATTAAGCAATATATCAGATAGCATGTGGGGTTTGGTGTTCTATGAACAAAAACTACAGTAGTAGTTTAAATAGCGAACGCATACTAACAAATAACGTTAGTATCTATATAACAAAATTATTGTCCTGTGGAGTTGATTTATCTTCCAGACACTTTTTTTTTTTTACAAATATTAAATATTTCGTGGCTGTTTATGAAAGATAGTATTTTATAAATACACAACCTACTCGTTAATATCACCAATTAAATTTGAGACAATTTGAGCAAAGAATTGCGATGACTGGATCACTGTGTACAGGAGGCTGATATGGAAGCAAACACACTCCAGACGACCATATATCTTGGATAAGTCGCTCCACAACATTGTCGCTTGGACTGTTGACTTCCTATGGCATCACCTGCTACATATTTACTTCTAATTTCATTATGAAATTAGATTATTTCAGAGTAAAAATAGGTTTGATCATGTTCTGCATTCAGCATCAACATTATAGTGAGTAAATATACCATATTTCTTCATTACTTACGTAATGCTAGCAGCATTTAAATATTTTTACAAGGTTTTTAAACAATGCTGTTTGTTGACCAACTTGTATCTTGGCTATTTTCTACCTTGTTCCCCCCCCTATTTATCTTTTTTTTTTTTTTTCTTGCAACACAATTTATACTTTAAGCTTTAGTTTATACTATTAAGTTTTAGTCCAAGTATTTTTTTCCCTTACCTCACCTTGCTCGAAATGCTATGCGTACTAGTGGCTTTAGATATTGTATGTTCTAGCTCTATCTCAGTCCGTCTTCCAAAAATGGGGAGGTAAATGTAACAGCCCCATAAGTGCAATTATGTACTATGTACGATTGTCAGGAATTGTACTTACTTACATTTAGTATTAAATTGTACTGTCAAATATATTGTGAATATTTGAGTTTACCTAAAAGGCTGAATAGAAAACCACGACCTCACCTAACCGTCTTAGTTTTTGAAGATAAGCATTTTATTGTTTCTTAATTACAATTAATACTTAACCTATAGCTATATTGATATTAGTTTTATAAAACAAAACTAAAATATTTCAATAAATTGTAAAGTAACTCAGGATATTTTCAAATTTTGTATAAAATATCTATTGTTTAATAAAACTGAAAAAAATCCTCATATTTAAAATGTAGGTATAGCAAACTGAACTTTAAAACGTCATCCTAAAATTCTGAGTGTCTTAACAGAAAATGAGGAGAATTAAATTGGGAGGTAAATGTAACCGCCCCATAAGTGCAATTGTGTACTATGTAAGATAGTCAGGAAATATACTTATTACACTTAGTATTAAAATGTACTATCAATTCAGAGGATGGGTTGCAGCATCTATAAGTCCAACATTATGTTTTTTTTTTTTTTTTTTTTTTTTAGATATATACAAGAGTTGTTACATTCTTGTACAGCCACTAGTACGCGTAGCGTTTCGAACAGATCCCTGGAATACAACCCCCGCCGCGAAGAATCGTTGTTTGAACCAAGTACACATTTTACTGTTGCATTAAACAGAGGCTAGTTAAGGATTTGCGCCTAGTAAATCCTCCCCAGCCAGGATACGAACCTATGACAAAGCGCTCACGGAACGCCAGGCGAGTGTCTTACCACTACACCACGGAAACTTATGTTTGTAATATAACTATGTATGTACTTGTACCTGAATAAACATTTGATTTGATTTGATTTTGATAAATTTGGGTAATTTGGGTAATTCTATGGACCCGTGTGTACCTGTTGACTAGCCTGTGGTCTTGTACCTTCATGCTGAATTGTGGGGTTCAGTCCCTGAGCCTATTATGTGCCTCTGTAACCCTTTCCACTACCGCCCACAAGATGGGTATGGGGTGCATAATAAATGAACTAAACTAACTAACTGGTGTATACTTGTTGACTAGCCTGTGGTCTCGTACCTGGGTGCTGGTGTGTATCTGTTGACTAGCCTGTGGTCTCGTACCTGGGTGCTGGTGAACCTGTTGACTAGCCTGTGGTCTCGGACCTGGGTGCTGGTGTGTACCTGTTGATAAGTCTATGGTCTCGTACCAGTGATGGTCTATACCTGTTGACTACCCTGTGTAGTCAACAGTACCTGGGTGCTGGTGGTGTGTAGGGGACTGGTCAAGTTGTCTACTGCAATTTCGGATTCCGGGCTAGAAACAACTTCGTTCACTGAGAAGTTTGTACATTCAAACCCTTTTGTTCGTATATGCGCTGGTTTGTGTTCGCTGCTGTTCTCGTCTGAATAAATACATGACACTTCATCATATAATTAGCGCTTCCTTTAACAATGCTTAGCGCACTGTTTGTATTACTTTGTTTATTAACAAAGCGCTCTCGTATCAGCGAAGGGAAGGGAAGAAAACTCTCAGGGAGGGAAAGCGCCAAGCCATAAAGACTATATAGCATCAGAGGTCTATATTGTATATAGACCTCTTTATTTATTTATTTATTTATTTATTTATATACAAGAAGGTACATTGGGTTTGTGAGAATACATAGCATGGTACAGTAATTGCACTCTTGTAAAGCCACTAGTACGCGCTGCGTTTCGGGCAGGTCCTTAATCTGTAACGGTTCTATTGTTACGTAAAGTATGGTGACAAATAAACACAGACACTAAGATACTATATATATATTTGGTCGAATATACAGAAGTACACCGGTGATACTTTGGTGTGAGTTGAGCGCACTGAGCGTCGGTACAGTATCTCGCAAGTGTCTGCTCTAGACCACACTTGAAAGTAGACTGGTTAGTGTTTGCTATTCTGCTGCTTATATGCTTGGGCAACACCTCACCGTGTTGCCCGGGCAACGCCTCACCTCATTCATCTCCAAAGGTTGACAGGAATATTAACACTATATTTGGAGCGAGTATATTATTGGGATAATCTACTCGCTACAGAACTCCCCCTCCCAGGGGATGAAAGGAAAAATAATTGATCAAGGAACTTAGCTGGTCGGTGAATTGTACGCCCTGCTCGCGTTACATAACCATCAAAGTTAACTTCCTCCTCTTCGCTGATGTCATCTAACTGGGGTCGTAGGAGGATCCTGTGCTGGGAGGTCGTCCGTCGTCGTAGGAGGGTTGTGGTGCGGCTGGTAATTGGGGTCGAAAAGTGAACTGCGCAGTCGGCGGATGTGTCTCTGGATTTAGCAGTGTCGCAGACGTTGAGACGAAGCCTGGAGCAGAGCAGAGAGCTGAGTGAGGCCGGAGTCGTGGAGCTCTATGTGGGAGAGCGTGGCGGCTCGATTGAGATTTGTGAGTGTCTAAACTCGGGGAGCGTGAGCGTGGCGGCTCGATGCGGTCGTAGTCTGCTGTCTGCTCTGTGTCTAAGCTGTAGCGTCTTGGGTTGATTAGGACTGTACACGCCGAGTACGAAATTGTAGTCTGGTACCAAAAGATGTAGGCAGTGTGTGGACAAGCTCGGTGTAGCAGGAGAGAAGAATGTGCATAATTGTTGCGTCCTTGGGTCGCTGGTGGAGCATTTAGATCCGGGGCGGATGGGCTCGGGCACCAAGACATTAGGAGGTAATGTAGGCACGTAGTTAGGACAACGAGGTAATCACTGCTAGAGCTGAATTGTCCTGGAGGCGACGAAGAGTCGGAAACGCAAGCTGTAAGTCCTGTATTGCACAAAGGGCTTTAGTCGGCTGAGTATCAAAATGCAGTGAACGTGTAGATGAATCTGATGACAGAGCAGCTGTCGTGGGCGTAGGACAAGCAGTGCCCTGGCAGCGACAGAGAGTCGGCAGGACAAGCTGTAGATCCAGCATGATGTAATCATTGATGAGGCTGTCAGATGAGTAACGATCGTGGAGCAGCAAGCCGTAGTAGATGAAACTGCAGAGATGGACGCGATGAAAATCATAGCTGTGGCGAGGGTGTTGGCAGTATTATTCCATCACAGCAAACAGTAGCACTAGAGGTCCAGTGAGAGTCCATGTTGTAGTCCATCGTGGCTGGGTATCGTCGAAACTTCGTGAAGGTCGAAAATAGCCTCCATCTGCATGAACCAAAATTCTGGCTCATCTGCGTTGTATGCTGGAAACCTGGTAGATAAATCCATGACGAAGATCTAGTTTGTGACTAGGTGTTCTTTTCACTCACTGGGTCACCAATGTAACGGTTCTATTGTTACGTAAAGTATGGTGACAAATAAACACAGACACTAAGATACTATATATATATTTGGTCGAATATACAGAAGTACACCGGTGATACTTTGGTGTGAGTTGAGCGCACTGAGCGTCGGTACAGTATCTCGCAAGTGTCTGCTCTAGACCACACTTGAAAGTAGACTGGTTAGTGTTTGCTATTCTGCTGCTTATATGCTTGGGCAACACCTCACCGTGTTGCCCGGGCAACGCCTCACCTCATTCATCTCCAAAGGTTGACAGGAATATTAACACTATATTTGGAGCGAGTATATTATTGGGATAATCTACTCGCTACAAATCTAACAGATAATTTTAAGTAGGTAAATTCTATCAGAATTAATAAAATGATAACAAATACATTGCAAGAAAAAAAATGAGATGAGAGAGATTAGTAAGTATATTAAAGCACATTGGTATATTAAAGCTCTGATTGATTACATTGACAGCTTCATTGGTAATTTAAACAAGATTAATAGACACCATACAGCAGATTGACAGTACATATAAGAAGACAGCAATGATCGCAATGATATATTGATTGTATAAACATCAGAGGTCCACGGTTGTTCAACGTCCTACCAGCGACCATCAGAAGTCGGAAGTCGGCGGTTGCTCAAAGGCCTCCCCCATCCCCGATAAACCTGAGGATTTTTCCGGCTTAATTTTAAACGGAAGTAATGTCTTGGCATTTACGGCTTCAGCGGGTGGGTGGGTCCGTGAGTTTATTACACTAAGAGTGAAAAACAATCGCCTGTTCTCTATATTATATTGCCGCTTATTGAACAAAGGAAAAATCAAACAGGAACTTACTTAAGTATTTTCGTGATAATCAACACGTCATAATATACTTTGGTTGTTGTTGTTATTAAAGATTCGGTACCTGGAACAAAGTTCCAAGTAGCACGGGCTATGGTGAGCCCGTTGATGTGTTGATTAACAAGGAAGTACATAAGTAATTTCCTGTTTTAATTTTCCTTTGTGGTCTTCAACTCTACAGTGTCATACTATTCATTACTTGTTAATTTTTTCATGAAGCGTGTGAGGTGTGAGATCCAGCTTTAGGATCAAGGGGTAAAGCAAATAGGAATGGTTGCAGATGGTACCAGTTTTTGCAGGAACATGAAGATTTCCAACTGCTGGGCGAGCCCTCTCCTACTCATTTGAGGGGAGGGAGATTAGATTATGCTCGTTTAATAAATGCTGAGGGCATAGAGGGGAATTGTCTTACTGTGGATGAAATGCTAAGTGATCATTTTGCATTACAAATACAGCTTAAACTAGATAAAAAGCATGCCTGCCTTCAGAGGAAAAGGTTAAAGTTTAATGAGGGAGAATTAAGGGGTCTTGTTGGCCATATTAAGTCTTGGTATGATACTTATAAGCCAGTTTCGGCAGAAGCATTTTATGAAGATTTAATTAAGGAGGTAGATGTATTTAATGCAACATTGAACCGGAAACCATCTAGTATAAAAAGGCATCCCCCAGAAAAGAAAATTATACACATGACAAGATGCTTAAGGGGTGAACATTAACAATGAGGAGAGCTCACAGGGATTGGAATAGGAATGGTAGGACTGAGGAAGGGAAGAATGCTTTACTGGCAGTTGCTAGGCTGTGTGGGGAGAAGAGAAAGGAAATTAGGAGCAAGTATTGGCAGGAGTTTCCAGAGAAAGTTGGGAGTAACAGAAACTTGAAGGAAATCTGGCAAGACGTAAATAAAATAAGGGGTAAAAAGCATAATTTTGTTGCACATCCAGACCCGCAAGGAATTGCAAATGGTCTCGTAAATAAATGGGCGGAAGCTGCCAAACTTAGTTCAGATTCAGATTCAGATTCAGATGTTTATTCAGGTAAGGTATATACATACAAGTGATGTTACATTAATGGATTGATATATAGATAGAGCAAGTACATACAATGCCTAAAGCCACTATTACGCAATGCGTTTCGGGCAAGAAAAACATTAATATCTAGAACTTAATACTAATTGAGCATAAAGAATAAAAAGTGTTGAGAACAAATACAAATAAAGATAAAAAAAGGGGGAACATGACTGAAAAAGCAGCACAAATACAATAGGTTGACAAACAGTGTTGATTAAAAAAAAGAAAATAACAGACATGGGTTGACAATAGAGGAGTGAGGTAGATTACAGGGAATTTATTAGGTAGTGTTTAGTTTTTATCTTAAACTGGTTGAGAGAGGTACAGTCTTTAACATGGTTGGGAAGGTCATTCCACATTCTGGGCCCCTTGATTTGCAGAGCATTTCTAGTTTGATTAAGACGTACTCTAGGAATATCAAAACTGTCTTTATTTCTGGTGTGGTGCTCATGGGTTCTGTTACAACCTTCTATGAAGGTTCATTATAGTTCATTACCCGCTGTAACGAGAGAGTCATTAGATTCTTGGAAAGATCTAAGAAAGGATTTTATACTTACAGCAGGTAACAGTGGTGATGTCACTTGCACAGGTATTACCAGAGAAGAACTAATAACGGCGATTAAGGTTGGGAAATCTACCGCCCCTGGGGAGGATGAAGTAACTTATGAAATACTTAATGAACTTGCCATTATGACGAAAAGCCCACTTTTAGACCTCTTTAATATTAGTTATAAAGAGGGCAGTATTCCCAGTAAATGGAAAAAAGCTATGATCATCCCTATCCCTAAAGCCAATGGAGAGTATAGACCTGTGTCTTTAACCTCGTGTTTTTGTAAAATGATGGAGAGGATCATTTTAAATAGACTTTTATATATAATAGGTGATCAGCTGTCTAGTAATTTGTTCGGGTTCCTCAAAGGAAAAAGTACCTCTGATTGTATTATTAAATGTCTAGCTAATGTTTTTTAGTTTAGTTCATTTATTATGCACCCCATACCCATCTTGTGGGCGGTAGTGGAAAGGGTTACAGAGGCACATAATGGGCTCAGGGACTGAACCCCACAATTCATTTAGCTAAGCAAGTTACAATCTTGATGAGCTAGTTACAAAATTCAATATAAGT